TATTCGTGTTTGGCGATTTTAACACCCATTATACCAAGTGGTTCAATAACGCTACCACTGACCTTGCAGGCATACAAACCCTTAATTCTTCAATTTCTCAATTCCTCGTGCAAATAATTGACTTCCCCACACGTTTTTCCTACAATCTGAATGGTAAGGCTTCTCTTCTTGATCTATGTTTTACCTCCATCACCGAGTCCTGTAGCGCCACGCAGCTCTGCCCTCTTGGCAACTCCGATCACGCAGTAGTGTCTGTCAACATCTTCTTCAACTCCACCCCCTGCAAAGAACCTCCTACCACTAGAACATCGCTCAGATATCAAAGAGCAGACTGGGACTCGTTCCTGGATTTCATTCGCGACGTCCCCTGGGAGATTGTCTTCTCGCTCGCTTCCGAGTTCTCCTCCTGGGTTACAGCTGGAATCGAGGCTTTCATCCCCTCAGTGAAATATAAATCAAATCGCGCTGCCCCCAACACTTGGTTATCCACTGCTTCTTCAGCTGCTATTGCCCATAGGAATCACTTTTTCCACCTTTATCGTAGCGACATGTCTGATTGCATTAGACGTCTCTTTGTCTCTGCTCGTAACAGGTTCTATCTCCGTAACCGGGTCTGGGTGGTGTTCATACCATTATTATTATTATTATTAATAATAATGATAATGATAATATCATTATTATAATTATTGTTGTTGTTTTCTTTCCTTTTATTTCTGGTGTGTACCCATTTTTTCTGTATCCCGACCAGAGACCTAAGGTCAGAAATGATATCATGACATTTTCTACTGAGCAATTAAAAAAACATTATTATTATTATTATTATTATTATTATTATTTCCTTTGACTTATGAGGTATACTCATTTCTTTCCCATCCAGTGAGCTAAGATAGCCAATATCATCATGTCATTTGCCAGTGAGTATTTTTGGGGTAGAAAAAAACAGAAGCAACACGGAAATCAAGATCATAACATATTTTGCATGGGTAAAAAAGTTTGTAATTTGTGGGCTGTATTTGTGAATAAATTATTTGGTATTTCTTTAGGGCATCTGCAACCAGAAATACCTTCAATTAGTCTATTGGAATGTTTTTCCAATCAATACGACGACTCCAAATTCAACTGGAATTGTTGATGTCCTCATCCGCCACATCTTTGAGATTTCTGTCTCAAGGTCCTTGTATTTTCGTAGGCTTTTGAAGAACTTCAAATATACACTATAATCTCCAGTGACTGCCGTTTCAATAAGAAGGCACATTTTGTGTTTGTGGTATTTAATTATGATGTCTGGACGATTAGCTTTTATTATTCTGTTTTTGTGTATTATAAAGTCACAGGGATTTGTTACAGGTCCTATCTTCGTAACCGTGTCTGGATAGTGGTCATACCAATTTCTTGCACTTTCCTTCCCGTAAAAGTTGTAGATTTTCCAGGGCAGATATTGGCCCAATTTGCCAGACTGCATTTTACAGTCAGTATGCACTGACAAAAATTTATCAATTTTTTCTGGATATCTATTACAGAATCTAAATTTTTGGCTAACAAATTTCTAGTTTGCAAGCACAGCAAGAATAAAAGCTTCGCTTTCAGCTTTTAAACTTGCACTACGTAGCCATTGATGAATACGGAGGATGATTGGTACGATCAGAGTATTGACTGTGAAGCGGTTTATATTGCCATCGTTACTGTATCTGTTCGGTTTCATTTTCTATTGCTTTCTTTTTTAATTATTTTACTGCTTCAGTTCGTGTATTGTGCTTTAATAGTAGTTCTTTACATATTTTAAACTCCATTTTGAAATTGTTGGCTAACTTTATTACTGAATAACGTTGCATGATACTTTCATGTTCTTCAGCACATATTATCAACCAGTCTTCTGTAGTTTCCAGATATCATTGAAGGTCAGTTGTTGTAGTTTTGTAATATAGTTTTCGTTGAAATAGTCATCTGCCTCCATTGGATCTGGACATATACTATACAGGCGATTAACACCAGTTTTGGAATGTCGTGGCAGGTGAGAAGATTTCCCGTTTTGGCGTCCATTTAATATCTGTGCAACCAGATACTAGATCAATTTTTTTCTGGATACATATCTCAGAATCTGCATTTCCGGTTAACACATTTTTCAGTATGTGTGCTTGGTAATTTCTAGTTAACAAGCGCCGGTCCTGTCCAGCAAGAATAAAACCTTGGTGTTGAAAGCTTTAAACCCTGCACTAAGTAACCACTGATGGGTACGAGGTTTATCTACATCAGCTTGTTTTGTACGGGTAGATTATAAATAATCTTGATCAGGAGGAGTCTTATCAGGAAGAGTCTTATCTTAGCTAGCGTTTTTACATTTCCTACATTGCAATTGATTTAGCTTTATTATTATTATTATTATTATTACAGGAGTGAAGGAGGAAATGATGAAGAGAAGGATAGGGGATAGATCAAGGCACTGGAGACGTCGATTGACATTACATTTTAATAGTTGGAGATTGTAGCTATCAGGGAAACAGGAAAAGGGGTGGGAGTTCTACAGGCGAGAAGTGCGAGACATGAAGCTATTGGAGTAAAAGAGAATGCTACATTTAACAGTTTCGACAGCGAAAGGGTGAGAGCGAGTTACCAGCCTAGCTGAACGCTTGAATGCATGAAATCTCATTATTATCATCATTATTATTATTATTATTATTATTATTTCCTTTGATTTCTGGTGTGTACACATTTCGTTCCGTGTCCTGCCCAGAGAAATAAGGTTAGAAATGGCATCATGACACTTTCCACTGACACACACACACACACACACACACACACACACACACACACACACAAAATAGAAATAAAAAAAATAAAGCACTTCTTAAGGTGCAGGCAGTAATCGTGAGAAAAATTTTTGTATTTCTTTAAGGCATGGGTTTCCAGGAATCCCTTCAATGAGTCTACTGGAATCTTTTCCAATCAATCCGAGGGCTCCAACTACAACAGGGATAGTTATTTTTCTTATGTGCCACATTTTTGAGATTTCGATTTCAAGGTCCTTGTATTTGATAGCTTTTTGAAGACCTTCAAAGATACATTGCAGCCCGCAGAGACTGCCATATCAATAAGGAGGCAATTGTTTTTTTTCTAATAACAATGTCTGGGTGGTTAGATTTGTTTGTTCTGTCTGTGTGTGTTGTGTAATCCCATAAAATTGTAACAGTCCTATCTCCGTAACCGGGTCTGGGTGATGTTCATACCAATTTCTTTCAGTTTCCTTTCTGTAGAGGTTGCAGATTTTAAAGTGCAGGTTTTGGTCAACTCTTTCATGTCGGGTTTTATATTCAGTGGGTGCTAATACCGTGCAACCTGATACAAGATGATCGATTGTTTCTGGGTAATTATCCCAGAACCTGCAATTTGGTCTAACACAGTATTTTAGTATGTGTGCTTGATAATTTCTAGTTAACAAGCACTGATCCTGAGCAGCAAGTATAAAACCTTCCGTTTCAGCTTTCACTCTCGCACTACGTAGCCACTAATTGGTACGGGGCTTGTCTATATCAGCTTGTTTGGTACAGGCAGGATTTTGGCCATGAATCAGGTTATCTTGCCATTGTTTCTATATCTGGTCGGTTATATTTACTTTTGATTTCAATTTGAAGCTTTAGTCGGTGCATTGTGCTTTACTTGTATTGCTGAAACCTTTTTTTTTGTAAGCGTTTCACCCCAAGCAAGGCGAGAAGCCACCAGCACGCAAGGGGTTACAGAGAATTGGAGCGAGAACAAATAGAAGTGGAGGAGAAAAGGATGAAGAGAAGGATAGGGGATAGATCAAGGCACTGGAGACGTCGATTGACATTACATTCGAATAGTTGGAGATTATAGCTATCAGGGAAACAGGAAAAGGGGAGGGAGTTCTACAGGCGAGAAGTGCGAGACATGGAGCTATTGGAGTAGAAGAGACAGCTACATTTAACAGTTTCGACAGCGAAAGTGTGAGAGCGAGATGCCAGCCTAGTTGAACGGTTGAATTCATGAAATCTCATTATTATCATTATTATTATTAATAATATAGGATGTGAGATCAGCATGCCCCCCAAATGACGCTGTTGTATAAATATACAAACCACAGTATACCAGAAAGAGCACGCGTTTGTCAATATGCATATTAAGGGCATTGATTGATTTGATTTATATGGCTTATTAACATTTCGGAGCATATTTAAAGCCAGGTAACATTTTTAGAAGTATTTTTGGAGATAATAACGGTTTAGTGATATGTCTCACTAATTAACCCATAGCTGAGTGAGAAAGAGGTGGATTTACAGCAACTAGTATTCACGAACGGTCACACATCTAGAGACTGACCAGTCTCAACCTTGCTAAACTTCGGTGGCCGCGCGGGAATCGCTATATTAACGCGATACGGCTGTAAGCCAAAACAAAGTAAGATCATGAAAGCGACGTTTACTTTGCAGGTTGCACCCAATTACATATGTATTCACGTCTATTAACCGAATCCACTCAGGCAGCCAATGGTTTGTGTTCCTGAGTATCTAGATTTGTCTCCGAAGACGATTTGGATGACATACTCTTTAATATTACAAACATGAACCATCTTCAGTCCCAGTCAGGATGCTCCACCATCAATCCTGCTCGTGAGGTCTCAAGGGACGTTTCCAAATTTGCTATCATTATTATTAATAATAGTAATAATATTATTATTATTATTATTATTAGTAGTAGTAGTAGTAGTAGTAGTACTATTAGTACATCCAGTGCTTGTAGCTAAAAACGAAAGAGTTCGATAAACGTAAGCTTAAGTTGTTGTGAAACGAATCCTCAGAAGAATAGATTCTATATAACCAGGAAATAAAAGTAACAAAGAATTTGTAAATAAATGTTCTCAGACGTGCAGTTACAATCCATGCGAAATACAATTTCTTTTATTTGAACAAATAAACGAAATGGAAAAAGTCATCTCAGTGTATTTAAAAAGAGGGAAGAAGGAATATACCAACGATTGAAATATTTTAAAACGGAAAAAATAGGAAAAGGTGAAGAAATACGAGAAAATGATAGAAGAAAGAAAGAAAGAAAGAAAGAAAGAAAGAAAGAAAGAAGCTACGACTAGGAACAACTAGAAAGAAAGGAACGAAGGAAAAGCTATGACAGGAAACAACTAGAAACAAAGTGAAAAGAAAGCAAGAAAGAAAAAAGAAAGAAAGAAGAAAGAAAGGAGAAAGAAAGAAATAAAAAAGAAAGAAAGAATGGAGAAGCTACCAAAGGAAACAATTAGAAAGAGAGAATGAAGCTAACAAGGGAACCAACTGATTGTGAAAGTAGAAGGATAGATAGTATGGAAGAAAATACAAATCAGAAAAAAGAATATGAAAGAAAAAAACTGCCAAGCGTATCAACTGAGAGTTGAAATATAAAGATGGATACTATTAAAGAAAAACAATAAGTAGAGAAAAAGGAATAAACAAAGACAGAAAGAAAGAAAATATCTCATAAGATGAAATAGAGGATGAATCAATAAAAACATGTTTGGAAAAGAAATGTCACCAAAAAGAAAAATGAAAGCACGAAAAAAAACAGTGAACGAATAATACAATAAGGTAACAACGGAATCAACAAAGCGTAACGTTAAAGAGAGCAAATAAAAAAAAAGGAATAAATAAAGAAGTACAAAAAGGAATAAATAAAAAAAAACAAATAAAAAAGGAATAAGCGAAAAGTTTTGGCGTAAGTCATATTGAGAGAATATAACAATAGTTTATATAAAAAGTGATTGTTATATAAAAAGCAGTTAAAACAAGTTGAATGCAAGAATGAAGTTAACTACCGTGTATAAAATTGCTGAAAAAAAAATTCAAATGTCTCAAGACGACACGTGAAGTGAAAATCGAATTCACATTAAATAAACGAGGGGAAAAAATGAAGCTGAAACGAAAAAAAAATACACAGAAGGAACAATGTATAAGAATGTGGCAAGATAATTCAGGTAAAAGAAAAATGGAGAAAATATAAATTACGAGAAACAAGAGAAGAAGAAGAAGAAGAAGAAGAAGAAGAAGAAGAAGAAGAAGAAGAAGAAAAGGAAGAAGGAAATAGAAGAAGAAGAAAAATTGGGTGTACGACGACGTAGAAGAGAAGAAGAAGGAAAGTAGAAGACGAAGAAGAAAAAGAAGAAAAATAAGAAGAAGAAAAGGAAGAAGGAAAGTAGAAGAAGAAGAAGAGGAAGATGGAAAGTACTAGAAGAAGAAGAAGCAGAGGAAGAAGGAAAGTAGAAGAAGAAGAAGAAGAGGGAGAAGGAAAGTAGTAGCAGAAGAAGAAGAAGAAGAGAAAGAAGGAAAGTAGAAGAAGAAGAAGAAGAAAAGGAAGATGGAAAGTAGAAGAAGAAGAAGAAGAAGAAGGAAAGTAGAAGAAGAAGAAGAAAAAGAAAAGGAAGAAAGAAAGTGGAAGAAGGAAAGTAGAAGAAGGAGGAGGAGGAGGAGGAAAGTAGAACAAGGAGAAGAAGAAGAACAAAAGCAACAACGACAACAACAAAAATACAAACAAGAATACTATAAGAACTGAAAGAAGAACAACCGAAAGGAGAAGAAAACGAACGAGAACAACAAGAAAAACAAGATAAAGAAAAAAAATATTTAAACCGTAAAAAGTCAAAGAAAAACAGACAACAAAATAAGCGAAAGACGAAAATAAATCAGGCCTGAGAAAAAGGAAAAAAAGAAACATCTCCGACTGGAATAGTCAGCAGCAAACTAGTCTTATTACCCATTCTGATTGTACTTTTCAGATGCTCACTGGGTGACACAGATCTGAGACAATATTGATCACTAAAATAAAATTAAAAAAAATACGTACATAAGGAACAGCATTTTTTACATGAATAGAAAACATGTTAAATGAGATCAAGACAATAGAATGACCACAGTGAGGAGGAATATTTACATTGATTTCTTCATGTTTTAAAGCAAAAAAACAAAATTCGTTTGAAACAAGGAACATAGCGCTGAAGTGTTATTTCAAAAAAGACATAGTGGAAAAAACAAGAGAACAACAAAGAAATGGTAAATGGAAAAAATGGTTACACTGAGAATTAGACGCAGAATGGGAAAGTGGGGATTACAGAATTGAATTGGATATTCACAAGGATTTACTGAAGGCAAGTGTTGTATCGGTAAACGTCGGGTAACTTACCTTTCGTCCACAAATGGCAAAGCGGGAACAAGAATGATGGTAAGGGGACAAACGTTGTTTAGATCGAAAAAATAAAAGAAGCAGGACAGAGTTATGATCAGTCACATAAAAAGAGAAAATTAAATAAAGAAATGAAGACAGCCATATTATTCTAAGATTTATGGATGTGATAAGAACCGAGCTGTAATCTCTGCGGAGAAAGCGAAAAATCAGTATTTTAAAACTTTTCCCCTAGTACAAAACATAAGAACCACATATGGTAGAGGGATAGTGAATGGGGTTCTTTATGGAAGCAAGAATTGTGGATTATTATGGATATATAACGGTTGACCATACACATGAAGATTTTCAGACTTTAGTGACGAAGAAGAATCATTTTTGCTGTCTCTTTCTAAAATCTGTCCAAATGGAACTCCATTCTTAAAAATGAAATAAAAAGAGTTTCGGAAACTTTCACCCTAGGTATGGCAGTCGTACTCTATTTAGGGAATGATTTGACCTTTTTCAATTTAAAGCACTGAAGGTGAAGTCAAGAAATTTCTGGAGTAGTTTAAGGTGCAGCCTAAGTAGGTATCAAAATTAACCTATATTAAAAGGTCAAATCATTTTCGAAAATGATATATAACGGTTGACCATACACATGAAGAGGTTAAGACTCTACTAATCGAAGAAGAATCATTTCGGTTGTCTCTTTCTCAAATCTGTCCGAATGGAAGTCCATTCTTACCAATGAAATAAAAACAGAATGAGGAGGTTTCACACAAGTATACGTGGCATGTCTGGTTTTAGTTTTGAATGTCTGAAATAGTGAAACTACACATTGTAATTAGTTTTTCGTGGAAATACCGCGCGTATAGCTTTATGCTTGCCGTTTTTTGTCTGTTGGAGACGGGTTGTGTGGTTGAAAATAATTCGTAGCCTACAAACCTGCAGAAAAGCATTCTAAGTTTTTTTTTTCGAGGTTTTCGAGAGTAGATTGGAAACTTTCAGTCTAGGTATGGCAGTCGTACTCCATTTTGGGAATGATTTGACATTTTTCAAGATAGGGCACTGAAGGTGAAGTCAAGAAATTTCTGGAGCAGTTTAAGGTGCAGCCTAAGTAGGTACCAAAATTAACCTATATTAAAAGTGTAATACAAGAAAGACGGAGAAAATGAACAGAAATCCGAAGGTAGGAAAACAAAATAACAAAATATAACGATCAGAATCTAAAGTCTTTAGAGATAGATGAATGACAGCATATGTATTTCTATGTTCTTTCTTATATCCTATAAAGCTGTGAAAACTTGATAGCCTCTTCACTGATGAAGACATTTGAAGTGGCAAATGATATTAGACGGAAGATGATAAAAAACAACTGCTAACAATGAGAATGTGAAGTTTAAAATTCCCATGACATTTAATGAGGAAAATGTTTAAACAATTTACCATTCATGAGACATACTGAATGTAACGGAACAAAGATTTGATTAATTGAATTGTTTTTTTTATTCATGAATTCTAAACATTTTGCAGGTTATTTAAAGCCAGAAAATATTTTTAGCGTCTTAGAATATTTTTTAGAAAATTATTTAGTGATACTGGTCTTACTAATTAACCGATCGTTGAAGTGGGTATTTGCGCATAAATAAATACAACTGAAATTGTAACCCGGCTCTCGATTACCAATTCAGAGCTATTATACATTACACCGGCCACACATCTAAGATTGCAGCACCCGGTATTTCCAAACAGTTACCCAAATAGATGCTGATCAGGTTCAACGTTGCTTAGCTTAGGGGCTCGTACGGGAAGCGATGTTTCAACCTGATATAGGTGTCAACCACAGGAATAAAGCGAAACATTGATTAATCAGCTTTTTGTATGTGTATGTATGCTTTATATATTATGCAAACACACTTGATAAAACACACTAAAAATAATTTTGTACTGTTAGGTTAAATTGATTTATTTTGGAAGAACATTTGAATAATTCAGAACCTATACTGGGACCCAAGCATATATATATATATATATATATATATAACAGACAAAAGTTCATTTTCTACATCAAGACATTCATTTCTGTAGTTTACCAGCAAGCAGAAATATTTCTTCTCCCGATGATGGCCATTTTGACCGAAACTAGTCAAGGAATCGAAATGAAATAATAATAAAAAAAACGAAAGAATATTAATCTACAACCCAGTGTGTCTAAAGATTTTAATTTTTTAATAACTTTTTATTGTTCAATACATATATATATATATATATATATATATATATATATATATATATATATACGAAAAAAAAGCAATAACCGACAAATATTTTCTTAAAAAAGGAATATACAATACAGAGTAGAGCAAATATAATTATTTATTCGAAAATTATAACCTAAACATGTTATATAATCACTAATAAAATAGCCATTTTGTTTCAATACTTCTGGTTTCTTATCAAATGATGGTGTTAAATTAACACCATCATTTGATAAGACTGGCTATTTTCTAGTGATTTTATAACATGTTTATGTGATAATTTTTCGAATATTTTACACACACACACACACACACACACACATATATATATATATATATATATATATATATATATATATATATATATATATATATATATAATCGTGTAAGACAAGGACGCGTCTTCTCACCTGCTTTTGTGATGTTAACGAACACTCGGTGTCACTTTTGTAATGTCAACGAAAAACCGTTGTCACTTTCTTAATGCTCGTCGTAGTAGAGACTTTGTTATCGTAGATATAACTATAGTAACGCCGTGTGTGACGTCCCTACAGCCTTCGCTCGCTCCTCGCTGCTTCGTTTGGGTGTCGCTGCTCCAAACGTGACGTCCGCCTGTCTGCGTCAGTCATGTTGTCCCGTCCTGTGACGACCAACTGACTTGGTATTGGTCGCGGCATCCAAATGTGACGTTCTAACCTTTTGGTGATTCGGATGGGAATCTGGTCAGATCCGATATCAGCCTCGTCGTTCCCAACTCGCTTCCAACGTCTGGTTACCGAAGTAACTGCGTTGATCTCCAGTCCGCCTACCCACGTTGTGAATTGATCTTGAAATCAATCAGTCGTTGGGGCCGTAATGCAAGTTGAGTACAAATGAGGGTGGTATCGCACAAATATGTGTAAAAGAAAATAAAATAATAACTCAAAAGTTCAAGGTATCAAAAAAAGGATAATAATACTTTATATCTGGTTGCTGGATACATAGGACTGCGTCTATCTCCCGACCCACTATATGGATTGTGACACGTTGTTTTTGTTAGGTGAGTTTTAACATCTTAAGTTGTCTGTTCTTTAAGAAATTGGTTCTTGGTGTGTCTTCAGGCGATAGTCGTAAAACTTAATTTGGCGGTATGGATCTAAGTCGCTCTTCAAAAATAAATTGTTCTTGGATTGAAGGTGAGTTCGGAACTTGCGCGAATCTTACAAGTCAGATTTGCGAGGCCCACTTCAACTGCAAACTGGAAGCTGATCCGAACTGGACTGAACTGGAAAACTCTGATTTTCGCTCGCTGCGACTTTGCTTATATGGACGCCGACCAAAACCGGGGTGGGCTTTGTTGTGGTTTGAGGTTCCTTGATAATTCCAAATTCACAATCCACTTCTTTTGTTTTCGGTCAGGAAAAATTTATTATTTCCATTTTTGGAAGTCTTCTCTTACCCCTACCTTCAGAGGGCGTCAACAATCCTCACGCTTCTTTTGAGTAACATCTTATACCTATCCTCTTTAAGGAGTAGTAGCAGTCCTCCTCCCCTGCATCACATGATCACCTCCGCCTGACTCTCGTTAACATTCATCCAATGGTTGATCAATAGTGTGGGCGTGACCAGACTAGCCTAGTTTCTTAAATAAAATATCTTGCTCAAAGAAAAAAAGAATTATCTCCTCCCTTTTCTTTTTTTTCTATTTCCTTTCCTTCTTTTCTATTCTCTCTTCTTCTCTGGCCGCCAACAGAACAATGTGACCAGTAGTGTGATAACCTCAATTCTCATCTGGACTTCGTCAGTCATATTTTCGCCAATTATCAGAGTGGGTGGTCATCCAGCAAATACGGCCAACTTTTCCGATAATATTGTTTCGCTCTTATCGCCACATTCTAACAAAACCCAGACCTTGTCTAACGATATCTTTCCCTCGACAAAGACTTAACCTATTTTCCTTTGTTTTCTTTAGCTCGTCGGTGGTCAGGGCAGTCCCGTGACACAGCTAAATGTTTAACTCTTCTGTCCCGGAGTTTAGCTAGCCGATCTGGAATTTGTCAATTAGATTTTAGCCAGCACCAAGTGGCTGTTATCTATTCCAGATAATATAAGTCCGCCACCATGACACAGTCAATTTTTTATCTATTTAG